TTTTTAACCTTCACCCTGCCGGGAGTTTTATGTGTTCGTAGTGTGGGATAGAAGATGTGAAGAGGGAAACTTGGGAGGCCTTTGACCCAGGGACACAGCAAAGACAGCAGGGAACAAAGCTAAAAGGGAATGTCAGCTCCTCCCCACACTGAACCCTGGGCAGGGTTTCACTCCTGGGAGCTGGGGGCACTCAGTGGTGGCTGGGGGCTGCTGGTGGCCCCCACCCCTCCTGCCAACAGTGTTGGCCAGGATGGATGTACAAGGGGCAGGTGGGACAGTGAGGGTTTGCTCCTGAGCACAGGGGAGGGGCTGGGCAGTGGGTGCTTTCTCAGGTACCTGCTCACTCTGCCCTGGTATGGGGGGACAGCAGGGCCTCTGTGGGACCCCCAGCCCTGGGAAGGCAGCCCGTGCTCCCACCAGGTACAGCCCAGGTCAGGTAGGACAGCAGCAGCTCTTCTGTAAGGCACACATGGTGTCGTGGGCAGGTTTTCCCCCTTCCCATAGGAACTGTGCATCTATTGGAAAAGTTTCAAAGACTGTGTGGGGACAAGATGCTTGAAGCGGGACCGGCCCCCCTTGATGACACCCCATAGTGCCTTTGGGGGTGATGGTGTCGGAAGGGTCAGGACTTGACTCTGATCCTTGTGGGTCTCTTCCAGCTCGGGATATTCTGTGAATCTGTGAAACCCACCATACCCAGCCCAGCCTGGCAGATCTGCACCGTGCTGGGGTGAGCGGGGTCTGTGGGTCCCGGGCACATTCCCGAAGGGAGCGCCCGACCACAGTTCATTAACTGGTCGTTAGGACCATTACCTTAATCACCGGGTGTTCTCCTGCTCTGTATCAAGGTGTGCTCAGGGTCACGCAGGCTGAGTGGGGAGCAGGTGGCTGCCTCCTGCCTCCTGCACGGCCGTGGCAGTGCCTGGATCCGCCGCCACCCATCCATCCATCCATCCATCCTCTCCAGTTTCCATGGCTACGCCAGAGTTTACTCTTCTCCGCCTTCCACCGCCTGCACGGGTGTGATGTAAAAAAAGGTCCTTATGTGAGGCAAAAAGCCCAGGGACTGGGACCTCCTGGTTTTTGGGAGCAACAACTCCATCCAGGGTGGTCAAACCACAGCGTGACAGGCACCGAGTGTCCTGGCAGCACCCGCAGCCCACCTGAATGGCACCTTGGAGGCCTTCAGGGGGGCTGTGGCATGATTTTGGGGTGTTGCCTTCCCCTCCTGGCCTCCCTGATGGCGGCAGGGACCCAAGGGAGGCGGGAGTGATCTCCTGGGGACAAATCCAGGCGCGGAGCCATCGGCCGCCTGGCGCTCAATGCGAGGTGACAGCACGGAGCAGAGATCTCTGAGCTGCGGCTCCTTAATGGGAGAGAACAAAACCCGAGCTTGGGTCACCACGTGGGATTTCAGTGGCCAAATGTGGGTCAGCAGAGGCCTCGCCGGGGAGGCAGGAATGTCACAACACCGCAGGGATTTCACAGCACCACAGGGCAGTCACAGCACGGCAGGGGTTTGTTCCCTTTCCAGGGGCACAAGCAGCAGAGGGGCAGCGTATCCCAGTCCATGGCCACATTCCCTGGGCAGGGGGATTTTGGCTGAGGGGCTCCTGGGATGTGGCTGAGGTGCAGTTGGCTGCGAGGGTGTGTGATCATTTCCAAATCCATGGGTGCTGTGATTCACAGGGCCAGCGGGTGAAGCGGGAAGCATTCCCATAGCCTGGGTGTGCTGCACCCGGCTGTGTTTGGCCATGGGGCAATCCTCATGCCCTGCCCATGCATCCCAGAGTTCCTGCCTGCTCCTGGACACCTGGTCGGGCTGCCTGTGCCCCAAGGCCAGTTTTCCCTCTGACAGGCTCTGGGTGACCCTGAACTCCACAGGATCACGGCTCCACTGTGTGTTTGTGGCATTGAAGAGGCCCCTCAGTAGCAGAGGTGCAGGGATGGTGCATTGTGCAGGGACCCCGTGGTATGGGCTGTGTTTCAGCAGCTCCCTCGGGGAGATGCTGGGCACAGAGGGTGCCTGGGTGCTGTTTGGCCTCGGGAGGGTGGGGTGAGTTCCATCGGGCACTCACCCGCTGAGTCACGGGGCTGTGCAGCCAGAGCTGTGCCGTGTGTGCCTCCGGCCTGGCCCAGAGGGGATGCTCTGTGTCCTTCCCTGACCCCCTCCCCACACCCCAGGACAGACTCTGTGGCCAGGTTGGGCAGTGAGGGCTGGTGACTGACGTGGCCTGGCAGCTCAGCCTCCCCAAAGGCGCTCGCTGCTCCTTCTGCCTCTCCCACCAAGGCTCCCTCCCTCCCCCCCAACCCCAGCCTGCACATCACTGCCTGCCTCCTGGCCAGCTGAGCTGGGGGCTCACCCCATCCCGGATTCCCCAGACACCCCCTGGAAGCCCAGCCTGGAGGGTGCTCTGGCAGTGCCTGTCCCTCCAGCACTGCACAGGGTGCTCCGAGCTCCCGTCCCCATTTTATGGGAAGGGCTGGGGAGTGCTGGTGTCTGCAGATGCTGGTTCATAAAACATTGACTTTCCAGACAGGCTTTGCAGAAGAAATGAGATGCTGGTGATTGTATGGAGAGCTCAGGGAATCCCAGGGTGTGTTCCCTGGAGCAAAGGGTGATCCTTGCTCGGGGCTGTTGAGAGCCTGCAGTGGGGCAGAGACCCAAAACGCTGGACACCTGTGTTCTCCAAACTGCTGCTTGACCCCATCTCTGGGTTCCTCATGCTCTTCCCTACTCTGTCTCACCTGTTGGGTTCCCACACAGTCCTGACCCAGCGCTGCCGTGGAGTGACAACACACGGCTGGTGTGTGTGGGCTGGCTTGTGGTTCCCCTGTGGAAGCATGTTCGTCTCCATGGTGGGATGTGGGCACAGGGGGATGGGGGCTGCAGGCATTTGTGTGCATGAGGCTGCTGGTGGGTTTGCTCTCCGACACTCTCCATCAGCTGCAGTCACAGGGAGCGCAGTGGGAACGCGTCTGCTTTTCCTGTGTCACTGTGAGTGCTTTCTCCACACTCACCGATAAATCCACGCTGGTTTTTCCCGGCAGGTCACCGAGCCAGTTTGCTGGCAGGGCAGAGATCACCACGGGGCACTGCTGTGTGGTTTGGATTTTTCCCTTTCCCAGGACGGCAGCTCTGGGGTTCCTCCAACCGCGGCTGGAAAGCCGCCGTTCCAGCGCAGTGTTTGTCTCCCAAGGAGGTGGTTTAGGTTTCACAGGGCCGACCTGACGGGAATTCGAGCAGGCACTAAAACTAGAGCTTCTCATGCCTTCGTTATCGGCGCTATCTGCTCCGCTGGGCAGCCGTGGGGAGCGCGGTGGGAGCTGGTGGGAGCCCGTGCTGTGCCGGGGCGGCACGAGCCCCCGGGATCTGCTCCAGGCAGCCCCCACCTCCCGGGCTGAGTCACCAGCAGGCCGAGTGCATTTGCTGCTGGTGTGACGGCAGCTGTAAGTCCCAAAAAATCCCCCAGCACTGATGCTTTAATGACAGGCGGGTAACACAGCCCCGAAGAAGACTCATCCCGCACATACCTCATTAGTGGTGACTAAGCCCGCACTGGGCTGGAGCAGCCACAGCCTTCCCACGTCACCCCAGCCCTGGTGTCACTAATTCTGCAGGTCCCGAGATCCCAAACCGCCCATCTCCTGCCAGTCCCCGGCCTTGTTCCATATTTAATCTTTCATGTTCACCTGAGTCTCTAATTAAGCTCAGCCGTGAGCCCCTGGTGTGTAGTGAGGGCTTGGCGTTCCCGGAGTGCTCTGTGTGTGGGACCCACACAGCAGCCCACTGAAACAACCCCCAGCTGAAGGTTTTCCCTTTGTTTTCCCTTTCTTTTTAATTCCTCCCCCCAAAACTAGCACTAGGCAGGTGTGTAATGCTAACTCAAGGCAGGTATGAATCATAGAATCATAGAATCCCAGAACAGTTTGGGTTGTAAGGGACCTTAAAGCTCACCCAGTTCCAACCCCCTGCCATGGGCAGGGACACCTTCCACTAGAACAGGTGAGGTGAAGTGCGGGCCCATTAGCAGTAAAGCTCTTAAAAAAGGAATGTGTGGACTGTTTGGGGCTTTTTTCCCTTTTTTACAGTAAAGGCATGAATGGTCAGCTTGAGGTATTCAAAAAGAGCTTTTTCTTGTGTTTCTTTTCAGTGGCAGCAGCTGTCCAGGGAGCCTGTGTTGGGGTGAGGCAGGGCAGCATGGAAACCCCAGGTGCTGCTTCCCAAGCCAGTATCCAGAGGAGCTGGACAGTGTCAAGGGCTGGAGCAACTGGAGTAGCCACCATCCTCCCCAACATCCCAGCTGGCTGCCTCGCCCTTAAGAGTCCCCCCAGTCAAAAACACCCCCCGGCCTGGCAGTGAACGGGGCTCTGATCCCCCGGGGGGCTGCAGGGTTGGGCAGGGGGAGAGACGCGCATTGTAACTGGAGCAGCATATCCATGGCAACCCCAACTTTTCATCAGTGTTAATTACTTACACAGTGCCAGAGCTGCGCACGGCGCCTCCCAGATAAAGATACATCCCCCTTCCAAGCCTCTCTGAGTGACACCGAGGCGACAGCGAGCTCGGGGAGCCGGGTCTGGAACGCGGTGACGGAGACATTTTGTGAGGAGAGGAGCTGGGATTTAAAGGAGGGGCCGGAGAGGCAGCCGGGAGCTCAGGGCAGCTTTTCTCCCAAGAAAACACCTTCCCGGAGTGTTGGGAAATGGCCCCAGCCAATGTGACAAGCAGATCCGTACCCCAAATCCTGCTGTTGGGGTGTCTCTGGTGGCTGTGCTTCGGTGGGGTGTGTGGGGCCACACGGTTGTGGGGCCATGGCCGTGGTGAGGGCTGGCAGCAGGTCACACTCACAGGCCTGTTCGGGTCCCTTTGGGGCACAGGGATGTCACTGAGTGGGTGAGGATGTGGCTGATCCTGGGATGGTCCCAGCAGGTCCTGGAGTTTTTGGCTCCTCTACGGCTTTTTGGTGCAACTCACGGCACAGGAGGCCGGGCAAAGGAAAAGCAGTTTGGCTGTTTAATGTTAAAAGTGGGAAACACATTCCCAAGGCATTACAGCTCACCGTCATTCCCTCAGCATTCCCAGTTATAGAGTCTCAATTTCTACAGACTTTAATCTTCAACATGTAGTTTATTACTGCTGCTTTTCTTTAAATAGCATTATTTTCTAGGAAGTGCAGCCGTCCCATCCCCACAGCTGCTGTTGTGCGTTTATCTCCCTTCTCCTGGTGAGAAGCTGATGGATACAGATCCAGGCAGCTGCGTGACCTTTACAGTCTCACTCGGAGTCCAGGGACGTGGATGTAAGATTGTTTCAAGTCATTTTGATTTTATTACAAACCAAAATACTTCACATTCACTGGCACCTCAGGTCCACAGGATAATTACTCTCGGGGACAAAACCACCCAAACCCAAACACCTTAAACAGGTATCGGTGTAGTTGTGGCTCACTTCGGCTTTTCCACGAGATCCCAAACTTGAGAGCCAACACGCCACTTGCTTTAGTTTGTCAGGTTTTCTATGGGACATTATTCCAGCATTACACCTTAGCAGGAAGCAGTCTGACAAACAATTTACTGTGCAATAAGCCACGCCGAGCTGCATCTGCAAAGAACCATCTTCATCATCCAATTATTGCCAAATCCAAATGTTCTGTACTGAAGCTGTACAGGGATCAGCTGATGTGACGGGGGGGGTTGTGTGTTCAGTAACTTGTTGCTCCTCCTCACTGCTTGTTGGTCAGTGGGCAAGCTGCTGACTAGGCTGAGGGAGTAAAACCCCACAACAGGAGCTTTGTGCTCTTCACTCCTTAATTTCTGTGGGAGAACGTTGAGTTCTGAGTGTCTTTTTATTCCTGTTCCCAAAGGCTGCAGTGGCTGTAATTTCCAGCCTTCCCAACAAGCCGAAGACTGAAACCGGGGGATTATATATAATTTGACAATCCCAAATAAGAGGCGAGGAGCTGAAGCTCATTGGGTTGTGCAGTGCCCTCCTGCTGGGATATGTGCTAATACCACATAAAAGTAACAACTGTTGAGGAGACTCCCTGCGATGTCCTTTCCCATCCTTTATCACAATTAAGTTAAAAAGGCCGGACCTCTGCAAGCTCTATTTTTATAGCTGGGGCACGTGCTGTCACCTTTGAAAGCTGCCACTGATTTAGGAAGGAGCACAGGGAGGGAGGGGACTGCATTTCTATACCTGTACTGCACGAAGTGGGACTTATTCTGGCCTTATTCTGTGCCACTGTCAGCATAAAGGTACCGTGATGCTCTGCAGTCACAGAGGTGTGAGGAATCAATGCCCATCCACGTTTAAGATTAGCTTATATGGCATGTGATCCTTTCCAGCGCTCCGAGGCAGAGGAATTCTGACAACAGCAGAGTCAAAACGAACCCAGACAAAGAAATGTCAGCATTCATACAATTTAACAAAGCTCCCTACTTGTTTTTACCAAAAAAAAAAAAAAAAAAAAAGCCCCGAAAGGTTTCAAACAAAAGGAAATGTCCTTCATTCAACACTGGTAAAATCTTTCAGCGCTGTCAAAGTGACTTCAAAGCTTCTCCACATCTGCCTGCTCCAGCCAAAGCTGCCTGTCCTCAGGCCTTTGTGATGTATCCTTCTCTGATCAGGAAGTCATAGATTTTCCTGGTTTTGTTCACATCGATCTTGATGAGGGCTCGAGCCTGCGCCAGTCTCAGGCCCCCCTGTTTGTTGCACTCGTTCACTAAAGCAGCTTTATATTCCAAATAGGCTCCAGGGACCAACCTCACCATCTGACAGAGCTGCAAGACAAAAGGTGAAGTTAATAAACACCAGCACTTGTCATGCTCCTCCATTCCCAGATCCCTGCTGGGGGAGGAACACGGGGAATATTTTTCTGCAAACACTTTCAACGTGGTGTTTTTTGCACGGGGGAGGCACACGGGAATGGCAGGAGGAGCTGCCTGGATCCACAGGTAGGGAGGGGAGGAGCTTGCTGGCTGCTGCATTCAAAAAACATTCCTGACTGAAAAATAAAGGAGGAGGATGAAAGCAAGCCCTGGGCTGGCAGGAGCACAGCTCTGAGTGTGTTCTGTGTGGGCGTTGCTCCTTCCAAACCCCGGGAAGCAGATGCCAGACTTGCAAGCAGCAATTGGGCCCGCTGGCCGGGAGCCAGGGAGGGCATCTGGCTGCTAATCCCCTGCAGAGTCGGGCTTTAATACCTTCCACACAAGCAGCTCCGCCGGCCCCTCCGGAAGCCTGGGATGGAAGCTGTGCAGGGAGGGCATTCCATGTGTGGAAGTTTGGTAAGGAACTGCTTTCCACAGCCCCTGAGCTGTTTGGCTGCACAGCTCCTGTTTAGTTCCCAAGCACCAGCTGCCTTCCAGGAGCGCGGCGTGGCTCCCACCAGGGATCCTGCCTGTCTCCTCTCCTTAGTGAGGAAATGCTTCATGCTCATCCCTCCCTGATAGGAAATTGCAGAATTCCCGGGACCTCAGACTTTCTGTCTCAGCTGACGAGGCAATCAGACTCCCCCCCACACTAATGTCCTGTCACCATTGTTTCTGTGCCGAAGAGAGCCAGAAATGCCCGTTCCACGTGGAGCTGGGAGCTGATTCTCCCAGTGCTGCCAGCTCCAGCCAAGGGCACACGCACATGGAGGGAGAGGCTGGAATACAGCTGTGCCTCATGTGCACTTCAATCTGCCCTGGGCAATCTAAGGACAGATTAGGACTTCTAATAAAAAATAATAATCTTTTATTTCAATAGTTTTCCACTGAATTAGAGGACAGGGCTATACTGGGCTGAAAAACTGAGTCATAAATGCACAGCAGGCCCCTTGCTGCATGTTCACCTGTCCTGGGGGCTGCAGCCCCGTTTCTGTCAGCTCTGGTGATCTCACCTGTGCTTCAGGTGAATGCAGGGGCCCTATAAGGGGCTGTGAGCTGCAGTACAAGGCTGAGATAACAACTCAGGGCTTACAGACAGCCCGATCCCATGCCCTTCCACATGTGCATATAAAAACCCTGACAGATGCACTGTAAAGCAGAAATATGGAAAAACCACGAGAAGAACACTGTTATCACCTCCATGGTTCACATTAGTGAAACCCCACTGCAGCTGATTGAGGTTTGGCTCTGAGGTATCTGTAAAAGAAGGAGATTTGCTGTTTTTGGGGTGTCCTGTGCAGGGCCAGGAGTTGGACTCGATAATGGTTGTGGGTCCCTTCCAGCTCAGGATGTTCTGTGATCCCACAATATTCAGGTTCAGTGACCTGTCCAGTGAAGCCCTCGAGGAAATCCTCTGCCAGTTTGATAACCAGTGTTCATTAGGAAAAAAATGACCCTTCTGCTCAGCCTCACGATGCAGGAAGGGAGGGTGTCACACTGGATGTTATAACAGCACCTAAAAACACCCTGGTGCTCTGCACCTTTCTTTGCTAAATCAGCCAGTTTGCTGCAGCTCTGCTGGAGGTGTGGTACAGGAAATTAAGAAGCCAACTGGAAAACCTGAATGATTTTTGTGAGCAGGAAGAGCAATCTGGGCCTGTGGCTGAGGTGACATTCACAGCCCCCCAGACATGGTGTGAGCAGCCCTGGGCTGGGAAGGTACAGTTTTGTAGAGATGATCTTTCCATCTTTCCTCACCTCCTTCTCCTTCTCGTTGAGTTTCTCTGTCCCTGGCAGCCCTGTGAGGTTCAGAGGTGGGGCGCTCCGTCTGCCTGCGGGGGTGAGAGAGGAAACACTCAACAACTGGGAGCAGTTTGGTCCTGGCTGTTCCTGAGGTGTGTTATGGAGGGAATTCAATGCCTGACGTTAACCCAGAGTGATCCAAGTGTTTACAGACAGGGTTATTTAGGGCTTAGCATAAAGCTGTGCTGATTGATAAAAGGTTTGATGTCGCAATGGACATAGTTCAGCTCTGTGAATGCTGCATGAGACTCTTGTGCTGTTGGATTTTGGGAGGAACTGCAAGACAGCAGCTTTTGTCAGACTGGCCCCGAGCGTGGCTCAGCTGGGCTGAGCCTCCTGACTAACCCAACTCCACCAGCTCAGGGAGGGTGTGCCAGGGTGTGCGGGACCGAGCTCAGCCCTGAAACCAGGGCCTTGTAAGGATGCTGAGATTATTTATTGGTGTGATTACACAGCCAATTTCTCTGGCATTGCTGACAACTTCGTGAGGCAGAGTTTTCTTTAAATGCCTTTAAATACAATGCAGGTACTGTAAAGCAAACGCAGTTTGGAGGTTTATTTTTGTCTGTTACGATAAACAGTCCTGAAAGAAATATTTATCACAAGGTCATCTGCTGTTTCTCACTTTCACTATTGTTTATAATTTTGCTGGGCTGTAACTGGCACAGCTTAAGCTTCCACAAGGGCTGTCTACTTGCAGGTTTGACTTCTTTTGCATAATAGCATTTTTTCTTAACTTCCAGAGCTCAGGACAAAATTTGGGTTATTTATTCACATTTTTAAAAGTCTCTTGCCCCTGTGCTATGGGTTGCATATTTAGCACTGTTACAGATAGGTCTCTATCCCAGGATGACTTTCCCAAATCTGGCAAAGTGATGAGACCCTGGGAAATGGGCAGCTCTGTTTTCCCTGTGCTAGTGGCTGCTCCAGACCCTGCCCTGTCCAGGGCCTGCCTCTGGCACTGGGGAGTCTCTCTGTCTCCTGGGCATCTGCAGGAACAGACGGGATCTGGCTGCGTGTGGGGAGTGATCAGGGGAACTGAAGGACTAGAGAAGCTGGAGTGTGAGTCTGTGGGAGGTGTAGAGGAAGTTACTTCCCAGCACTGCTCCCTCTTCCCAAGGCCTGGAACGAGTGTGCTGTGATGAGACGCAGCAGAATTTGGTTTTACTCTTTTATAAACCCAGAAAATACCACACACACACAAACTACATTAAAGACAACCCATTAAGGCTGCAAAGTTAAGAGCACCAAATCTAGAAGTGAGGCATTAATTTGCCCTCTTGTATATTCAGTGTGATGCAGCCTTTAATTAGAGCCACGTGGCAGCTCTTCCGCAGCATCCCGCCGTTCCCTAGGCAGGATGTTCGCTTAATTAGCAGCTATATGGTATTTTGTTTGGGTTCTGTTCAACATGTGATGCTGCTTGTAAACACTGTGTGCCATCAGAGCTCCACAGGCAGCACAGCCCATGTGCTCCCGGGCTCTTCCCCTTCATGGGACACTGGGTACTTGACAAAAAAGGAAGTTCATTCCTCATTCCAGACCTTCAGCTGGCAGAGACTGTCCTCACTTCATGGACTCTGATGCCCTGAGATACACAAGCTATTTTCTGTCTAAAATACCAGATTTTAGCCGTCACCAAAATGTTTAAAACACGGTGCACAGCACACTGACTCACTGCTCGGTATCCTGACCCGAATTTCCAAGGCTCCTGGCAGAAATGAGGAAGAACACACAGACTCAGTGTCCACCTCTGAGAAGTTTGATTCAAGTGGTTTCACAGCATCCACATAGAAACTGGACGTAGGGACAGAGCTAAAGCCAGTTTTCCCTGGCAACATTTAACAACCCTATGGTGAAACTTTATCCCAGTCTCATTCACTGCATATCACCCTGAGACCTCAACAAATGGGGTGGGAGCTTGTATGTTCATGAGGACCTTGACTGGTCCCTCAACCTGTCCTTACTGGGCACTGAAAGAAGTTGGGGTCTTCACAGTGGGAAAAAACCCAGAATTTGTGCTTAAAGAATGTGAAGTTTCTTTTGCTTCCTGCCTTGCTAATGTAGCTTTAGGATGGGTTTTGACCTGTAGTCAGAAAAATCCAGAAATTCAGAGAAAAGTCCTACAGGATATGCAAGTGGAATGAGCTGCAGATTGATGTAACGTTGACTTGAGCAGTGCTTAACCATGAGGCTTGAGACTGACACTTCAGCACTTGAGAAAGAGTCAGAAAAAGGCTGTCAGAAAGATATTATGGGTTTTTATCAGACATCATCTAACACCTACCTGTAGTTGAAGGAACTGGTACCGTGGGAGTCAGGCCGGAATCACTGGAAAGAAAGGAAAATTTCAAATTGCCTTCATGTTTTTTTTAAGAATGGCTGCATATATTGGCCTTGAAAGTACTTCTTCCCCAACTTTTAATAATGATACCATTCAACATGCATAGCCCAAGTCCTGATCTGAAATCAACAGGACTTCTAAATATTTAGTGCTCCTACACCGAAGACCATGTCTGAAACTTGTTAAAAAAAACACCAAAAAATAAATGTGGAGGAGGACACAATAACAAATTCAGTGGAGACTGACTGGGGAAATTCCAAACCATCTCCTGCACACAGGATGCACTTCCTTTAACGTTGCAGCTTGCTCCTTAAATCAAAGTGCTCATGCAGGGTGACGACACATTAATAATGCTGCTACATCTAAAATCATTTGAAATATTCCAAGTGTCATCTGTGCCCTCATTAATATCCATAAAGACCTCATCTCCCTCCATGACTTTATGAACAGCAGTTCAGTGCCTGAAATATAAACTAGAGAAAACTGAGGGTTTTGAGCCCTTAGTCCCTTCCTCGCCTGCACTCAACTAACGACCCACTTCTGAATTTTGCAGCTTGTTCCTGCTGCAGTAAATTGGGAATTAATTTGTTATTATCACACAGGAAAATGTGTTTGATGTTAACTAAATCATAGAACCCCAGGATAGTTTGGGTTGGAAGGGGCCTTGAAGCTCGTCCCGTCCCACCCCCTGCCCCGGGCAGGGACACCTTCCACCAGACCAGGTTGCTCCAAGCCCTGTCCAGCCTGGCTTGGGACACTCCCAGGGATGGGGCAGGTTCTTGGGGACCCCGTGGCAGTGCTCACATGTCTGCCTGGCGGCTGAGCCACTGCTGGCAGGCGCTGCTGTCCTGGATGTACTGCAGCACCTCCGAGAGCATCGTGCGCTTCAGCCGCTCCTCGTCCCGGCTCTTCTTCAGGTGGTCGTAGGTCCTGGCACCTGTGGCAAACACACCCCCCTCCTCAGCACCTGCCTCGGGCACAGTGCTCACACTGCTGCTTCCTGCTTTAGGGAATAAGTGGGGAGCCCTGTAGCTCTGGCCCAGACTCTGTCATGGGCCAGAGCTCATGACAACTGCTTGGGGATTAGATTCCACCCTGCACCCTTCCCCCATTAATTTCAGGCCAAAAACAAACAAAGAAAGGCTTCCATGGTCCAATTCTAGGCCATTTCATTTAAGTGGAGGTCTTAGGCTTCTCTCCAGATATCACATGTGCTGACAGGCAGTGAAAGTGTCCAGAGAAAAAGCCCTGAGACCACTGTGCCATGGCACAGATATTTTTCTCTGCATCTTTTGCAGAGTGGTGACTAGAGCAGAGCTGTGCCTGACAGTGGGATCTCCCAGCTGATGGCTCAAACCAGCTTTAAAACAGCCCAGCTGGGCTGTGCATCATTCCTGAAGCCTTGTTCAGTCACAGAGCCAGGCAAATGCCTTTCATAAAAAAGTGTCTTTTTATTCAACACATCCTGAATGTTGTAAAATCATCCTTCCCCTCCGTGATGGATGGGAATGGGCTGAATAATGCATCAGGTACTTACTGCAGAAATTGGTGATTCCTGCTGCTCTGTATTCCTGGAGTCTCTTTATTTCCCTTCGCAGCTCAAACTCCACTGTTTGACCCCACGAGGAAGCAGGAGGGGAACCCAAAGAACAGAAGTGGGTCAGTGGGGTGGATTGGGGAGGTGGCTATTTCTTACCTGCCTAAGCTGACCAGGTCAGCTATGAGCACACAAACCACAGCCAGGGTTAACCTCCCTCCACAGGATCTCAAACCCACTGTGTCCCAGCTCTCCCTGGTCACAGATTTAAGTTGGTTTCTAACATCTGTGTGTGCTCAGAAAAGTTATTTTCTCTTCATGCACTGACAGTCACTTTGCCATACCCTGGACAAGGCAAACAATAATAATGTGGGATTTCTGGAAGGCACTTCAGTAAGTTTGAAACACTCCTCCAGCCAGGCTCCTTATGTATCTAATATTCTCTTAGAACTATGATTTTCATAACTGGACCCTCCAAAATTTTTCCTTTCAGACAACAGTTTTTTTGCAGTCAGTTGGATTAAATCAGTAAAAGTTTCTTTTGCTCAGAGATATTTCTTTTGCTCAGAGATATTTTATCAGCTGCCCTCCTGCTCAGTTTTACAGGGAGCAAGTTTCCTTGTGAATTTGTTTCCTCCTGCTGCTCAGGAGATCTGTGTAGTGCCTGTACCTGGCTGTCAAGTTCACCTGAGGATTTGTTGTCACCACAACAACAAAACCAGGTTGCAGGAGCAGCACTCCCATATGGGACTCGTGATTTTGCAGGTTCATGCTTTTGGTATTTCACACAGGGTGTCCTGAAAACACAGTCACAACTTTGTAAATGCTTTGTTCCTCCTAATGAGCAACAATTTTCCCAGTTTAAGTCACAGAATGAAGCAGGATGTGGTGACTCCTTCTGGAATTTGCCTAAATGCAGGCCATGAGATGATTCAGGGATGGAACAATGCCTCTCCCCTAAGGTAAGGGACATAATGACCACTGCACTATGTAATTATGTGACACAGAATAGTTTAACCTGTATCTTTCAAAGAATTCACTATTTGCTGCCAGCTCCCAATCCCTCCATATGGACATAATATAGGGATTTTGTTCTTCCCGTGATACAGAGTCCCAGTAAACAAACAGTGGTCTTTTGATTAAAAAAAAATATCACCTCTAACACATGACCAGAATGTTCAGTCAACCAAGAACTCAAACAAAGAACTGGGACACAGTTTAGTGGAAAAAAAAGCCCACTTGCTGCTCATTTAATGTAATCAAACCACAAACGTATTTGTTTTTCTGAGGTAGTCAGAGGGGGGAGGAGGAGAAAAACAACCAGCTGCCCTCCAGGAGTGGGATATATTTAGGGGATGAGGTGATGGCCAGCCCTGGGTGTGCCTGCTGAGGAGCCCTCCCCACACTCACGTGCGTGGCTCTCGATGAACTTGTCGTGCTCCACCGGGCCCAGGATGCGAGCGAAGCGTCGCATGGTCTCGTAAAGGTCCTGAACCTCCTTCGGGTACCGCCTCTCCAAAACTACAGGGAGGGGAGGGAAAAAGGGACACCAGAAAGGGACAAAAAAGGGTCATCACTCCTGCTGTGGAGAGAAAACACGTCTGTGGAACGTGAAGTGACTCCCAGCCTCTGAACCGGCCGAAGCTCCGCGTTCTTGGGCGTTTTTGTGTCACGACTACAAACTGCTGAGTAAAAAGCAGTAAAGTCACAACACAGCCCTTAAAATCCTAAAAGCACAAACAATGATATTTAAATGCTGTCTGGTCATTTCTTACAATAGTGAGATGCATTCAAAGGGCCTGGATTTCACCTTCCTCCCCCTTCTCCCTACTCAGCAGAGCCTGAAATGCTTCTGAAGAGCAATTTTGAGGCAATAACTAAAACACTGAGCTGGGAGTAGTTAGAGCCAGGCGGCTGGAAACAGTTGGGGCAGGAAATATGCTGGAATTTGGACCATCTGAATACAGTCCAGCATGAATAAACCACACTGGTGACCTGGAAATGCTGAATGTGTGAAGTTTTGCCACTTTGGACTGAAGCAGGTACACCTGATACTCACTCTGAAATTTTCTGAGGTTGATCAGGCCATGATCTCTTATAATTCTGTAAATGAGAGCAAAATGGTATTAATAAGAGCCATTAACTCCTGCATTGCCTCACAAACACAAAGGCTTCAGAAGAAACTTTGATTTAGACCATCAGAGGGGTCTAAAATTAAACATGAATGAGATTTCCATACCCCTTGAGCTGGCTGGAATGGAAACATGAGGCAGTGTGGCTTTAATCAGGGCACATTTTGGATAGTGGTGTGCATTAGCCCTGAGCACAAAGGGAGCTGCAATCTCTTTAAGGGCTGGGAATGGCTTCTTTAGGCACAGATTTCACATCCACAACACCTTATAACTTATCCTTCCAAAATCAGAGGTAAAGAGTCTCTCACGAACATGATTTCCAGCTTCAGAGAGAGACAAATGTCCCTTTGCTAGAGCAAGGGGAGAGCTGGACTGTAAATCCCACCACTGGCAGTGGGAGGAAGGAATTTTTCCATGACAGCTTGGATTTTTAAAAAGAGCCAAATGATTGGGGTAACTCTGAGTTCAAAGTGCTCCTGACAGGATCAGGGAAAGGAGCAGAGGGAAAGGCAGGTGCACGAGAAATACATCTGTCCCCAGTTTCAGCAGTTGGGCTGTCAGGGTCAGGTTGGGACTTGCTCTATAAAATCCATTACATTTCCTTTAGTATGGACAAAAATCTTCCTGTCCCGTGCAGAGGCACCTTTCTGAGGGTGACATCAGCACTTTTCTGTCATTTTTCGGATTTTTGTCCCACCCTGCTTTAGAAACTTCACAAAACCTGACACTGAGTGATGTAACTGAGCCCTGTGGCACTTTCCTTTAGTATGACATGATTGATCATCGTGGAAATTACACCACCTAAATAGTTTTTATTTCTGAATTACAGAGAAGCAGGTCAATCCATATCCACTCTTCCCTGTCACTCAGCAGAACTGTGCTGTTCTGTGAGGAGAAGGACTGGAGCAGCCTTACTCCAAATCACTAATTCTTCCAGCAGGGACTAATCTAGCAAGATATGATTTTAAATATTGAACAAAGTATGTGAAAGTTATAATAAAATTTAATTCAATTAATAGACTGACTCATTCTAGAACGCTGTCCAATGAACTGAATAAATTATTCAGCCTCACGTCAGCAGTTGAGTTATCTTCAGTGTGGAACACTAACTTAGGGACCACTAGGAATTAAAAATAATGATGCAAATATTTCTGTGGAGAAAGTGGGGGTCCAGCAATTAGTCACAGCCTGGCAGCCTTTTTTTCCCCCCTGAAGTAGGAAATTAATGATGTGCAATCCATCAGCATTGCACAGGGAGGGAAAGAACAGAGATTTGCCTCTCTCTGTCTGGTTCCAGCCCTGGATCTGTGATGGGTTTTCCAAATTCCGTTTCAGTTTCCACTCTGCAAATGTGACCTCATAAGGTGTGTTGGAACACTGGGGACCAGGATGTATTAATGAAGCAAAGGAACACAGTTATTGCTTGAAAACTCACTTTTTCCTTCTCTGCCTTTCCTTTAACCTGGAATGATAGATATCTACAACTGCAATCTTCAGGGCTGCAAAATAAAAAGATTAAAGAATTCATAAGTGATCACTGTGTGAGGCTGATTTTCAAGCCCTTATGTTCAGGGTAGGCTGAAATGGTCACTGCTTTACTGTTTTAAAAGTCCTGTGGCAATTTTACAGGGGCATCAGCTCACCAGACACTAACCTGCAGTATGTGCTACCTGTGTAAGCTTCTTTTTGCTTACTCCTTCCAAATTCATCACTGTAAACACAATGTAAACATGAACCTGGGTAGATCCTGAGAACTCTTTTCCTTCTTGGGCTGTTTCACTATCAGCACTTATTTGTTCCTTCACACATGCAATTGTTAAGTATTTCCTCTGAAAAGCAAATTTATCAGATTTAAGGATCTGAAGTATCATCTTCAGGCAAAGGAACTCTGAAAAACAGACCCAGATCTGAACTGTGAAGATTCAAAGTGGCCTTTGCTACGGTTCTTAAAAACATCCAGAAGATTCCAGCTTGTTAACTTCCAAACTTATCTGTCTGCCAGGAGAACAAAGAACAGTTCAGGACAATGTGAAGAAGCCCAGGAAAAAGCCATGCTCATTAGAAATCATGTCCTTTCCAAAATCAAACCTGTCTGCAGGCTGGCTGATCCACTCACAGATCCTGCAGCTCCTTTTTCCTGTAACCATCTGGTTAATAAACTTCTTTTTTTTTGGGAAATTCTTGAAAGACAAGATAAAGAGACACCTATCACCTCCCCCCCTCCTCGTTCTGTTAAATAACACACAAATTCTGGGTCATTTTGGCTGATTTCGTGGTGGCTTTTCTTTCCTTTACATTAATCATTTCCAAACGTTCTTGGAAGGAAGAGACTTTAAGCCCTGACAGTGGTTTAGAGGCTGTGAGACAACAACCAGCCCTTGGAAAAAGGGGAAGAGCACGTCCCTTTTCATCCCAGTGCTGTGGGAACAGGGGTGGCCCAAGGGGGGCAGAACTCAGAATCCATTTCTCTCTGTAGTTACACAAAAAGAGCAAAACTGATAGTGGCTGTTTATTGATTGCACTCTCGGATAAATAATTAATAATGCAATTAAGAAGTGTGGTTATGTGCCTGTTTTAAGTATGTATTTATGTGCAAACACCAGGAAGCCCCCAGCCTCTGGGAAATTCATCTGTGCATCCCTCTGGGAAATCAAATTTCATACAAACAGGGACAGCTGAAGCTCAAAGGCTGAGGGGACTCACTCAGGAGCCACACTTGCTGATCCCAAGCAAAAAAAATCTTCAGTTTACACAAATTATTTGATGCTAATCTCAGAGCAAAAGGTTCCATATGAGATGGGAGGGGTGGTGCAATACTCCTACTTATTTTTGCAAATTTCTTGCATTTCCAAGCATCACTGTGTATTTTCATAACGAGGTATTTGAGTTTCCCAATTTAAGAACGAGCAGAGAGAGCAAATTCTCCTTCCTGCTCAAATGTGGGGACGAGAAATTGGGAACGCAGCAAGTTAAACATGAATGAAATCCATTAGGAAGGGCTGGAATTGGTGCCAACTTATAGAAAATATTTTTGTAGTTTTTAGGCCCTCTGCAAGCTCAGCCAGCTTGTTATTTCGTGGGGTTTGTGTGGGCAGAGCTTAATAAGTACATGCAGAAACTGCACTGGAGAACCTCTATAAATATCACAAGTAATTATGCACCTCTAACCATCGTTTTGGTGCTTTCACCTGAGTGCACAATATTCTAAAGAAATGATGATCAGCTGGGGAGGGGAAGGAGCAAATGAAGGGAAAAAATGGAGCTCCTGCTCACAGAAAAATTAGTATTTGCTGCCACATGGCCTTTTGGAGGGGCTTTTGTTTTTAATAGACATATTCACACAGGACCAGGCGATTACCAAATCTGGAATGCATGAATAACTCCGACTACTACACTGTTACACACTGCATGGAAATGAGAGAGGAGATGCTGCAGGAATGAGAATGATTTGCCTGTGCTTTTCCCCATGGATCCTAGCAGGGAGGCAGCTGTTTGTCCTGGTGATGTGAGATAATCCAAGCTGACACGGCGTTCCCAGTGTCCATTCTGGGCACTGATAAGGCTCTTGGTGCAGCTCTGAAGGACCCGGTGATAGGCAGAAATTCAAGGCTCCTTTCTCCACTCCAAAAGAAAAAACAACCCAAAATATTTTGGTTTCTCCAGAAGTGTGTCCAAAACAGTTTTTTCTTTGCTTTTCATTCCTCTTGGGCCTCGTTTGGTCTGCAAAAAACTTTGCTGAGCGCTAATGAGTGAGACCTTTGTCTGGTGCGAGGGAACCTGCTTGGCATGGGAGGCCCAAATAATGGGAAGAATGCAAACTAATCCCAGTAAACAGGCTGCGTGACCAGTGTGTGCCAGGGTTGGGACAAATTTTAATGGCTACAGTCCAAATTCACCCTCCCTGGAGGAAAGCAGGACCCATGGCAAACAGTTATCTGCCTTTGGAGCGTGTCAGGAACCTCCACAAAGGAATAAACATCATGTTCTGTCTAGGAGGACACTGAGGGCCTTGCAGCTTCAAATCAAACTTCCCTGCCACTTGCAGCCTATTTCCACTTCACTTCTAAACTTGTGGTTTCAGCAATTACTTTGCAGTGTTGGAAGTGAAAATCATTTACATGAGAAGGGGGGGGGAAAGCTGGGAAAAAGATAAATTACCAACGTTCTAATTCAGCCTGATGAAAACTTGTAGTTCATGAAATATTCAAGCACTGTGGGCTGAATTAGGGTTGTAACTGGTTGGTGCTTTTGATCTGTCCATTATGTTTTTGTGTAACTGCAATATATATTTGCATTCCCTTACTGTAGTGCCAGCACTGAATAAAAGAGAACAATTCCAGAATTTAATTGAAATATGAGAGATTTCATACATTTTCTACCATCTCACCAGTATCAATAAGTGACCAAAGGATGCCTGTGACCTCCTGTGAGGTGGGAGGAGCTGGTGAGGCAGCAGGTACAGATTCTGTGTTCCTCATAAAAGCTGCCTGGGAGTCTTTTCACCTTGTATTAAATTGCATTTTCTTGTGGGAATACCAAGAACTTGCTTAGTGTGACAGAGGGAAATATAACAGAGAAAATATATGATATATATAAAATTATGTATGTATCTCATATAAAAGATATAATACATCAGAAAACAGAGATCAAGCAGCTCAGATCTAGAACTTCTAAAAAAATAATTTTTAAAAAATGTTAAGAAAAGCAATGTGGGAGAAAGAGAACGAGGGGGAATTCCACTCCAATGGAAGCATCAAATATTCCTGTGTGATGTGCAGCCTCAACACTGCAGAACTGATCTGTGACTTGTGAACCAAAGGAAAGAGACACCAAAGGAACTACACTGGTGTGTTCTCAGGGTCTAGCTTGAGGAACTTTCAGAAAACAGAATATAAAAGTAGTTTTCAAAAATTAATCTTGAACCCAGTGAAGTTTAATGCATGGCAGGAAAACAAACAGAGGATTTTCTCACAGCCTGATCCTTAATCTCTGCTGTGAGGTCCCATGTGGGTTTCCCTGGGCTGTAAAATGTGTTAAACCCCTGTTTTACATCTTTACCTTTACATCCAGGTTGCCTCTCAACCATCTCTGCCTGTCAGCTACAGAGTACAAAGGCTTCTTAAGCCATCCCTGCCTTCAGAGCCACATGTTGAGCCATTTTCTGCTCTGTGAAATCCCACAATTAGGTTGCAAAATATTCTCAAGCAAAGTCAGCAGCTGAGATCTTTAAAACTGCAGGGCAGGGGAGGATGTGGCTCCTTCCCTTTTTTTTGGTAACTCTGGAGAAGGGAAAGATCTCATTCCAGATTTTTTGCAAAAAGGATTCTTTTTCTCCCCGAGATGCCTCATGTGAAAGAAAAACAGCTGGCTAGACCCTGGGACTCCATTTTTCAGAGGCTTTCTCTCTCACGTGGGCAGACCTGGGACAGCTGTGGGAAGGCAGATGCAGAGTTCCCGAGAGCAGAGAGATCCAAAATGTAGTTGGTCACACTCCACACCCTCTGCCAAACAGTTTTCCCAGAGCAACTGCCTGACCTCCCTTGCTGAACACTGAAGACAACTGAAGGATGGGCTGGAGAACACCCAATGAAATTATCAGGCAAAAGATTGGACAGACAGAGGGAAGTATTTTTTCACACAACACATAATTAAATTCCCAACTCCTAATTCGATTGTGGAAGTCCCTGCTGCAGGATGGAGGGGGGCAGGAGCACAGGCAGACACAGTTCTAGCAGTACTTAGCTGAGCTCCAGGAGGACAAACCCGTGGTCAGAAGGGTCTGAACACAACCTGGGGCTCAAGGAGTCTCTGAACTTATCCCTGCAGGAAATGCAGAGGGGGCAAAAAAGTTGCTGAAGGGGCTGGAGCACCTCCCCTGTGAGACAGGCTGGGAGAGCTGGGGCTGTTCAGCCTGGAGAAGAGAGGGTTGTGGAGACCTCAGAGCCCCTTCCAGGATCTGAAGGGGCTACAGGGGAGCTGGAGAGGGACTGCAGTGATAAGACAAGGGGGAATGGGTTCAAACTGAAAAAGGGGAAATTTAGGTTCAATATATGGAAGAAATCTTTCCCTGTGAGGGTGGTGAGGCCCTGGCACAGGTTGCCCAGAGAAGCTGTGGCTGCCCCATCCCTGCAATTGTCCAAGGCCAGGTTGGACAGGGCTTGGAGCAACCTGGGCTAGTGGAAAGTGTCCCTGTCCATGGCAGGGGGTGGGATGAGGTGAGCTTTAAGGTCCCTTCCAGCTCAAACCATTCCAGGACCCTACAATTTATGTGGAAGATATGCCAGGGAAAGGATCTGCCTGTACTGACTGCTCTGACATTCTCCTCCCTGTGCCCTGTGGGGACACTGAGTGGGACAGACCCCAGGGTTTGTCCCTGTGCAGCTCTGGGATCTGCTGAAGGGATGAGGAATCTGACTCTTGCACTCAGTGACAACTTAACCAGGAGAACAGCAAGAGAGACCTTAAATGGCTGAACTGTGCATGGGAGGAAGGAGGGGTGGGGGAATGGAAGGCAGTGCTGGAAAACCTCCTTTAGTGAACATTAATCTACCCATTAATGAACAGAACTAGAAGATAATTCTGCTTTTTCAGTTTACCAGGACCTAGAATAGGACACGGAAGCAAGAAAATGTATCTTTCAATAGCAATAAAAAGAAACAGTAGAGAGCTGGCATGATGAATGCCTGACATGGCCCCAGGCCAGTCCCCCTTTCAATAAATGTTAAAAGGGAGCAGGGACTGACATATGATTCTCATAACCTTCCCTGAGCCAAGGGAGTTTGCATTCTTTAAAGCTCCTGCATACACTGCTGCATTTCCAACTGATTTTTTTAACTTTGGCAAGACTGTCTGTACGTAACAGGATTTGTCTGTCTCCAAGGGATGCAAAGGCTTTAGCTTAGAACTGCCTGACACAGATGGGAGAATTCTGAGGCATAAACATAGGACTTTTAAACACTGCATGTACTTATAAACGTGGGGAAAAGTGGGATCTTTTCTTCCCTGTGGATTAAAATGTCACTTTAATAACTCCTGTTATTTCCTATTATTAAGGCAGCTACATTCACAGAAACTCAGAGCAGTAACTGGACTCACACCATCATCTTCAGAATAAAAAGGGAGTTGTCACACACAGCTAATGCTGCTCTAACTCAGGGCATGCTTAACACATGAAAAATCACACAGCTTCAAGAGTACAGCAGCTTAAATGTGTTTCACATGGTCTTAAACTACACACCTCCTTGCTGCCTGCATTAATACCTACCCTGAGATCACAGATATTTAGATATTTACTAAACCATTATACTAACTATTGTACTTTACAACTGGCTGTATTTCAGCTGTGAGGTGCATTATTCTGTACCTAAATACCATTTGTACATCAGTTGGTTAAGAGCTTTTAAAAGAGATTTGAAAGTGAGGACCGTAGAAACGCCGGTGTTTAAATCTCAGTGAGATTTTAAAAAACACATTATAAAAACATAAATTTAAAAAAAAAATAATTAAAAAACCCACACAGTAAAAATGTATGTACACACTTTTAAAGTGTGTAGTGAAAGAGACTCAATGAAAAGCTGTGTAGACACTCTGAAACGTTGTTTTCAGACAGGGTACAAAAATATGGGACTTACCATGCAAAATGTCTGAATCATCTTCTACAAAATCAATATCTCTCAAATCCCATTCGGCATAGTTGTCAAACTCCTGTTCAGAGGTGATTAATACATTGTCACCCACCAGCACTAAAATATTGGTCTCAAGTTTCAGTACAAGCAGAAGGACTGAAAACAAGAGATATTTCCTCAAACACAGCGGTTCAAAGTTCCATCCCTGAGCAAGAAACATCCCAGGGGAGCTTTCCCTGGGCAATGTGTGACAGCACCCCCCTGGCTGGAACTGGAGCAGGGGGTTGGGACAGGGTAAGGAGAATTAACCATGACCCCCATGTGATGGGAACCCACCCACTGGGATGGAAAGCAGAATCATACAAGCCCAGAATATCCTGAGCTGGAAGGGCCCCACAGGGATCATCAAGTCCAACTCCTGACCCTCCACAGGACAATCCCAACAATCCCACCCTGTGCCTGAGAGCATTTTGCAGGCACAGGGTGGGGTTCCTGGGATGGTCCTGTGTTTCACCAATCACTTTGGTGCTGATTCTGCTCAGATGTACAAAACCAAGCTCCTGTATGGCTGAAATCATTCCTTCATGGACAGGAGCAGGAACTGGGGCCTTGGGCCCACAGCTAAAAGCACTGAAAAGAGGGCAGGTTTTACAAGGCATGTCTGGAGCAGGGTCTTGTGTGCTTCCCTAAGGCAGATGACAGTGCTGGAGCTGATCCCTTTGGCTGAGCATCTAATTCTCAGCATCCACTCTGCTTAAGCAAGGGCATTCCTGGCTGGACATCTGGTGGCAGCAGCATGTCCTACAGCCTCACTGACTGCTCCCAGCTTTGCAGGCCACCAGCGCCACCTCTGTCATTAAATCCTTCATTAATCCCCAGGTTTAATCACAGAATTGCAGGATATCTCAAGTTGGAAGGGACCCATAAGGATCAGAGTCCAGGATAACCTTAAAACCTCCTCGCGGGATAACCTTAAACTAAACCACAAGACTCAGAGCATCACTCAGTCCTGTCCTCTCTCCTGATGTTTTAAAATGAAGAGTAAAGACCCACAGGCAGGGGGCAAACAGGTGTGTGTGTGCTGAGCTTGCACTCAGCAGCAAATTTAAAATAATGGGAGAAGAGTCAGCCTTACCTCAACAAAGTCAGCTCTGGCTGGCATGTACCCAGCCATGTCCCTGGAGAGCAAGGAATCAAAAGTTGGCCGTGGGGGATCATCAGCAGCTGGAAAAAACAAAGGTTTGTTGTTGTGTAGGGCTTGGGGTCTTTTTTTTTTTAAAGATCTGTAAATAAGTGTTTATTTTGCAGGAAAAGTGGGAATAATTAGTTGAAGAAAAATACCCTGATGGGGCTTTTGTTTAGAGTTATAGTCGGAAAAAGACTGAGTCCATCCAGAGAAAAATGCAGTAATCTGACATCTTTGTAGTACTCCCAAAAGTCAAACACAAATTCAAGGTAATAAATAGGTAATAAAACGTAAACTTTGCATTTTAGAGCTGAGCATCCCCCCATAAACCTCTGCAGATCCCTGGGGCTCAGCGTGCAGGTTCTTTCAGTTAATAGCAACAGGAGTGTTAAATTTGCCTTCTTCTGGGGGCCATTGACAGAGCTGCAATTAAAGCCAGAAGAACTCCCAATGTTTACAGCACTTCCCAGCTGAGGAGCTCAGTGTTTTACAGACAATAATAGTCTGAGGCTCACAATACACTTGTGCAGGAGCTGAGCATTATATGTCCCATGCTACAGATAAAACAAGCTGAGGCACAGAGAGTTTGTCTTGGCCCAGGTCACATAAAAAAATCAATAACAGCCAGGGACAGAACCAAAATTGCCCAGTTCCTACTGTTTAGCTCTAACCACTTTACTGGGAAATTTAAACCTCCAGACACCCAGCAACCATCTCACCCAGAGCTGCTGGGGAGCTTCAGAGAGGAGCAGCTGCCAGACTGGGGGAACGCTAAAGATGTGAAATGCAAGGAAAACTGAGAATTCGTTACATTGCTCTGAGATTTAGCTCAGACTTTTTAACAGGCAGTTTTAAAGAGAGAGGTGTGAAATCAGCAGAGTTGAAAGGGGTGGTTTTGTGAGGAATCACATCAGCAGTTAGGCCTGGGACACGGTGTGTACATAATAACATACCCACCACCAGAGGAAATGTTTAAAGGCAGGGATACTCACGGTGGAAGGGAATGGCTGTTTCCTGGTGCTGCACCTCCTCTGCCTGCTTCAGGTTCAGCAGGGTGGATGCAAACAGGGGGTTGTTGATGAAGTGTTTCATGTAGTGCTTCTCACACTCCTCCTTGGATTTGGTGCACATCTGGTTGGCTACGTCCTGCCTGGAGCGGGGAGAGGGGGAGGCTTCACGTGAAGGACATGGAAATGTCCAGTTTCTTTTAATTCCCCTAGTGGGAAAAGATGTTTTTGGGCAAGAGAGCGATCGTGTTGTGTGTAGAGAACTGCCCTGTGATGATGAATTCACGTTTTCAGTACCAACACTGAGCCAATACTCAGATTTGACACAGTGTAAAAGGGAGCACGTTTTGGGCGGCCACAAACAATGCAAACCACTCTCTCTGCACGAGAAACTCCCTGGCTGATGGGATGGACCAAATCCTTGACAGGTTTGGAAATTTACTCTTGTTATTTGAGGGCTTTTCACACATTTATCTAACTCCAGGTAAGGGCAAATTCTAAGTCTGGAACTGCATTCTACTTCCTAAGTTTCTCCTGTGTTTTTAAGTGGATACTTGTTTCCCCTTTCATGTTAAACAGGTTTTTTAGGAAGAAATCCTTCCCTGTGAGGGTGGGGAGGCCCTGGCACAGGTTTCCCAGAGAAGCTGTGGCTGCCCCATCCCTGCAAGTGTCCAAGGCCAGGTTGGACAGGGCTTGGAGCCACCTGGGCTAGTGGGAGGTGTCCCTGCCCATGGCAGGGGGTGGAACTGGATGGGCTTTAAGGTCCCTTCCAAACTCAAACCATTCCATATCTCTATGATTCTATTTTTTTTAAACACCAAAATGGTCATACAAAACACATCCTAGGAATCTTCACAAAATTTTCCTGGAAAAGTGGTTGACTAGAAATGTGAAGTATTCGGTCTTGATAAAGTGGCTGTGTAAGTTGAGGACTTTAAAAAAAATTAATCTACCAGCAGCAATCATTTTACTGTCTGTTAAACTCAAAACTGGATGCAAGAGGTTCCAGCATGAAAAGTCAGTTTTTCCTTTATTTGGTAAAGGCTGAAAAAGGCCAAATGTTTGAGGAAAAAATGAAGATTATTTGTATTGCTAAGCAGACCAAAGTGTACTCGACAGCACATTGCAACCAGTTCTCAGTCTTAATTCTGGCAGCAACATGCACCTAGGAACTCTCAGTTCTGGTTCAGTGAATGCTGGGGTTCTGTGCTTTTAATACAGCTATTTTTTCATGAAGGAGAAGGCAAACAACTCATGAAAACAGGATCTGGAACAGGTCTTCCACTTTAGCTGCTAAATTAGTGTCTCACCCCAATAAACCATTGAACTTTCAATGTGCACTGGTGTGTTCAACAGTGAGATCCAGGGAAATGAAAGGAAAAACTGCCCATTATTCACTGAAATTGGCTGAACCACTGAATTCTCACCAGTTCCCAAATCCACAGTCCATCACAGCCTCGAGGAGAGACATTTCCTCCTGAGCTGTCCAGTTGGGATCCAAGACAGGGAAATCGGATGTCTGGAGAAGAGAAAGGCAGATCAAACTGCTGTGACCCTCTGTTCTAACCCACCTCAGGAAGAGCAAAGAAGCTCTAAACCACAGGGCAGCACAGCAGATAATTCTGGTAGTTTTAAACTTTCACTGTGTCCCGTGAAACCTGATGGAACAACTGTTGAATTATTTAGGGCGCTGGGACATCAACCACAGCAAACCCTGGCACATGTTGCACCTCCCAGCTGTAATTCAATGATGTTGTGTAATGAAACACAGCAAAAATTACTGAAGACTTTAAAAACTATTAATCTGGGGGAAGAAAAAACAAGGATAGGGCAACAGAGGTTGATTTACATGGCTAAAGAACTGGAAGTCTAGTGAGGTGCACTGTGCTCTCCAGGCACAATAAAAAATGCAGCTTTAAATGACTCCACTACCCCATTATGTTCCAGGTGGATTTTAATTTGCAATCAAGGAAGATTTTTTTTTAATTGTTCTAAACCTTTGAATCAAAGAATTGCATCACTTAATCTTTCAGTGTAATATTAATAAGCCAGTGTCTCACTCCTGGGAAGTTGTGAAAGCTCAGGACTGAATAGGTGTTATCCAAAAGGAATATTTACCATTATCTCGTAGGTGTGATCACTTTGATGTTTCTTGTATTCAAATCCTCGGGTGAAACACTGCAAAACAAAAGATCACCATTATGTTGGGCTCGCTCTTCTGCCCTGAAAACATTTTCACTGGTCCCTTTCTCCCTTTTATTCTCTGACCACTGGGTATCCAAAACTTCCCACCTGATATATTCAAGTTTTCTGATGTAATGTTAGAAACCCCATCAAATAGCAGAAAGATCTGGGTTAAAATTGTGTTAATCTTTGTATCTTGCCTGTCTTTTGCCCTCAGACATAACTCCTGTGAATCCCAAATTTTTTTGATAAGTATTTATGGCAAAGTCAGGCAGCTGAAAAAAAATTTAGTGTTATATTTTAAAGTTGATTGTTTCAGGAAAAAAAACCCAGAGCATTTAGTAAGTATTGAAAACACAGTTTCCCTTTAATCTTGGTTCTCTGATTAAAAGCACCATCATGGTTTGCAGCTATTTTTAACAGCTAAGTATCTGGGGGTTTTTTTAAGTACAGGTAAATGAGCAAAAATACACCCAATATACAAAATAGGGTTTTGTGTATTTTGTACATACCTGAGCACAAGACTCAGCTCTTTTTTAGAAGTTACTGCCCATTTTTAATAATAATAACACAAACTTATTCATTTAATAACTAAACCAGCAGTACTTTCTGTGGTTATCAGATCACACATATTACTTTGAAAGAACTGCATCTGGTCACAAACAATTAATGTTAATATTGCAGGTTTTCCTTTTCCGTTTGGGAGGGGGAAAAAAATGTGTGTGGACAGGGGAAGGGTGTTTCTGGATGGATTTTCTTTTCCATGCCATAAAAAAATGACAGAAATGATCCTCCTCCAGACGTGCAGCAGCAGGCTGGGTTCCAGCCAGGCTGACTGCATGTCTTTGGCTGCTGCACAAAGACCTCCTTCACCTGCTCCTGCCTCACTTCCTCATCCTGCACATCCCCTTTGCTGTTTCCCTGTCCCTGAGCAAATAAGTGTGTTGGTACAGGTTTAGAGAGATCGGTTATTGATGTGCTTATGGACAGCCTGGCACCAGCCAGGCCTTTGATGGCTTTCTCAGAGGAATTTAGTGCCTCTGCTCTGCTGCTGGCACTCACCTGCAGGCACAGGAGGAAGGGAGGGGGCCCACACTCAGCACACTTCACGTAGGGCTCCGAGAGGTACGAGGAGCAGCCTCGGCACGGGGGCTTGTCAAAGGGGTCATCTGGGAAACCAAAGGAAAATCTCATGTAACACAAGCCAGGCACTGGTTTGGCACCACCTAAATTCACTTGTGCCCAGCCCCAGGAGTTGTGTGCCCCTCCCAGCTCAGTGAATTCTATGGATTTTCAGTGTGTCATCTCTTCCCTACTGCAGCTTCTGCAAACATGTTAAATATTCCTTGTTCAGCACGAGTTGCAGCAGAGATGTTGGCACTGCATCTCTGCTAGACCTGAAACACTGAGGGCTAAACCCAAACTTGTGCAACGGGCCCAAAGGAAAAATCTCCTCTGCAGCAGCCTCCTGGTACAGCTCAGCAAGGCTGCACCAGCTGCCTGGTTTGATCCTGTGCTCATCTTCTGCATCAAAGACCAGAGCCCAGACCTTATTTGCAGAGAATTCTGCACAGCAGCTGCACTCCCCATCCACGTGCCTCGAGCTGGACTCACAGAGCACATTGCTGAGGCTGCAAAGGCATCAACAGGATTGTTGCAACCCATCCAAACCTCAGGCTCTGCTCAGGTTCTCGACAAGGAATGAAACTGCCCTGTGAGTTTTTCATATTTTGTTCATGGCAAAGTGGTCAAAATAAACAGACTGTCAGGTTATAATGGCTTCAAACGTACAGAGGGCAGGGTTAGATTTGATATTGTGAAGGAATTCTCCCCTGTGAGGATGGGGAGGCCCTGGCACAGGTTGCCTGGAGAAGCTGTGGCTGCCCCTGGATCCCTGGAAGTGTCCAAGGCCAGGCTGGATGGGGCTTGAAGCAACCTGGGATAGTGGAAGGTGTCCCTGCCCATGGCAGGGGGTGGGACTGGATGGTCTTTAAGGTCCCATCCAAACCAAACCATTCCAGGATTCCACGATTCTATGATTCTTTTCCAAGAAAATGGGTTTGAACCAGCTCAACTATAAGAAGTAGGCAGAAAAAAGACCCAAATTCCCACTGAATCATTTGAGTCCTCGTGCTCTTGAGAATTTGGACAAAGAAGTGATTCTGTGGACCAAATCCTGCTGGTTTCTGTCTCCCTCCCCCATGGCTGCTGATTTCTTAAAACAATGGCAAACCCTTTCCAAATGTCATGGAATCACAGGATTGTTTAGGTTGGTAAAGCCCTCTGAGTTGAGTCCAACCACTAACCCAGCACTGCCGTCTTCACCACTAAACCACGTCCCCAGGTGCCACATCCACACATGTTTTTTGAACACTTCCAGGGATGGTGACCACAAAATCCCACAGCTCTGAGAAATCCTTGTGCCTGCTTCTCTGTGGGAGGTTAATTATCTACTGGCACTTACTGCTGAAGGAGGCCAGGCGCTCCATTGCTGCCCTGGGTGCTGGTCCTGCTCCTCGGAGTAAAACCTGTCCTTGCCCAAACACCCAGGGAGTGGGAGCCTTGTGCCAACCAGGGTGTCCAAAGGGAATTCTCTTCTGCAGCCCCCCAGGTGTGATCCTCCCAGAAGGTCCTGAACAGAAAGCAAAAGGGCTGTCACAGCCTCCAGACACCATTCCCAGGGCTGAGGGTCTGTTCTCTGGGTGTGAGGAGGAATCAAACATGGGGAGATGGGATGGGGTGTAAGGAGATGTGGAGTGATGGGGATACAGTCCCAAACTGAGGGCTCCTGTGGGAATGGATGTGCTGAGCATGGCTATGAGCAGATGGAGTGCAAGGAAGTGTTCTGCACTTCCCAGAAGCACTGGGAAGAGAAGGAGCAGGTCAGGGATGGCACGGGCACAGCAGTGCAAACACTGCCCTGCTCCTGCCAACACCATTTCAGTGCTGACAGTGGCAGCTTCCATGGACAGCCTGATCCACCAGCTCCTGCACAGGGAGGTCCTACACTCATTCCATCACCAGGGAATGTGCTGCTCTCCGTGTGGGATCTCTGACATGTCTCACAGTGACTGGCTTGGGCTTCTCCTTAGTGAAATTCTGTTTCTTTCCAGACTTTTCTCCCTTGTCATATCCCACTGCCACAAACCCTGGTCCTCAGTCCCCACTCACCCATACCCCACTCCCCAGATCCCACTCCCCATTCTCCCATATCCCACTCCCTAATCCCCATATTTCAGTGCCCACTTCCCCATATCCCAATCCCCACTCCTCATATCACTCTCCCACATGTGCCACTCCCAATTCCCCCATATCCCACTCCCCATTCCCCACTCTCCATATCCCTACTCCCCCCATATCCCATTCCCCATACTCCCATATCTCACTCCCCAATTCCCACATCCCCATAATCCCATATCCCACATCCCCACTCCTCATATCCCATTTCCCACATCCCGACCCCCCCTCCAGCCCCGGCCGCCCCTTCCCTCCCTCCCCGCCAGGGGGCGCCCCCCGTCCCTGTGTGGCCCCGCCCCCTGTGTGGCCCCGCCCCCTCCCGGCCCCGGCGCGGCCCGCGAGGCTCCCGCGCTCCCGGCGCCGCGCTCGCTCCCCCCTCGCCGTCCCACCGGCCGCCCGCACGCCGCCCTCCGCGCTCCCCCGCGCACCGCCCCGGCCCCGGCTCCCCGCTCGCCCCCTCGCCCCTGGCGGGCCGCGCCGGGGCCGCCTCCTCTCACCTCGCTCGGGGCGGCGGGTCGGGCCCGCGCGCGCCCCGCCGTGCGCACGCGCCGGGGCCGGGCGGGGCGCGGGCGCCCCCTGGCGGATGCCGGGAACGCCGCAGGGCCCGCCCCGCCCGGAGCGGGGCTGAGGGAGCCGGGACCGCCCGGGGGGCTGGGGCGGCCCTGAGGGGTCCTGGGGGTCTCTCAGGGGTCCCCCGTGGGCAGCGGCAGAGGCTGAGCCAGCCGGGTGTGCCGCACGGCAGAACCCTCGCTGTCCCAGGGCTCCCCCTCAGACAGCGGGCACACCCGGGAGGAACCCGCGCTCCCCCCGCCCCAGTCACTACACCCGGCTTCCAATGGTTCCTGACGGTTATTCACCCTTTCAGGTTCGTCCTTTCACTTCCTGAGGTAGCAAAGGGAAATCTTGGCTGATTTTCATGGGGAAAGGGCTCTCCAGTGCCATCCCTGCTGCTTCCCGTTGCACTGTGGGAACCAGGTACTCTGTGGAGGGACCTGAGCAGGGTTTAACGAGCCTTGCACAAACCCCCAAAGCTGGGGAACGATTTATCTGGTTGCTTTGTTTGAAACAGTGGTAATTGTTGTTGTTAGACAGCCTGCACAGCCCTCCTGGCACAGGGGCTCTCACACCTCGTGTTGTCCCTTGTCACCTCGGCGTGGCCTCGTGTGCTGCCCTGTGTTCCCGGGGGGAGCCTGGGGCAATTGTGACAGTGATGCTGAGTTAAAATGGGGTTTAACACAAATAGTAAGTGATTCTCTGTGTGCTTATGGTGCCCCGGTGCTGGCAATGTAACTGGTATTTCACAGGGACCTCAAATATTTATACTTGGGTTTATGCTTACACAAAACCTTAAGCTAAAGGAGGGCAGGGTTAGATTAGCTGTTAATTAGACCAGGTTGCTCCAAGCCCTGTCCAACCTGGCCTTGGACACTCCAGGGATGGGGCAGCCACAGCTTCTCTGGGCAACCTGTGCCAGGGCCTCCCCACCCTCACAGGGAAGAATTTCTTCCTAAATCCGATCTAACCTTCCTTTCTACCAGTTTGAAGCCCTTCCCTCTTCTCCACCTATGTTCCTTGTTGGAATTTAACAGCAAGACTGAAAATACCGGAATTTATTTCCTTTTCCTTTTGCCCAGGCTCCAAATGCATGTGAAAAATTATGAGAAGAAAATTAGAAGTTGGGAGAGGCAGAGTTTGGAATGTCAGTGAAATATTTATTGCTTATGCTAACAGGTTTTTCCTGCATCTGGGAATTAAGACTCTGGGTGGTTAATGGAAGGAATCAACATATGGGTGAACAGCTGGTTCCTGCTGTTCCCAGGGAGAGGTGAGGGAAAGGTGATGGATGTTTTCAGGTGAGACCTGCAGCCATGGATGACCATGGCTTTGGATATTTTTGTGTAAGGTCTTGGTATTCTGCCTCTGGCAGGGGAAGGAAAAATATTCACGAGGAACATTGAACAATTCGTGGAGTCTTACAGGTTTTTCAGATCAGTAGTGTTTGGTGTGACATCTCCTGGCTGAGCTGGACTGAAGGCACAGACCCCTGATGGCTCCTGGAGGGAGCAGTGATAAAAAAAGTCTTTTTTTTCTAAAGTCTCTTCAAATGGTTTCCAGCTTAGCAGAGGCCTAAAGGTGCCACCACCCAGGCTGTTCAATGGCACGTGTGAAGTGGCTCCAAAGGGTCTCAGTTTAATTCCCAGCCTCTCACTGGAGACATTTGCCACTCCAGTTACACTCCAGGAAGTTCCAGGCGGATAATTTGGAATGAATTAATGTGCTCACGTGCTGCCACTCAGAGGTTTTAACAAATGAGGTCATTTTCACCTGCTATTTGAAATGATTTACTGATAGTTTCTGCCAATGAAACGCTCTCAGGTGTTTGTTCTCCGTGTGTGTGACATCCAGAGGGCTCAGGGCTGGGCCCTCCTGTCCCACTCCAGGCAGAAATCAGTGGGAACATTATCAGGCCGCTGTCTGCAGGTGAATTAAAAGTCCCGTTGGGATTTCTCCAGGCTGTGGGATGGATTTTTTTTTTTTTTGGAAAATTGGCGTTTTCTGCGTTAGACACACGGGGGCGATGGAAATCACCTTTTCCTCTGGAGCTTGTGGCTTTGAAATGCTGAATAACCACAGGTTTGTGTCCCCAAGCACAGAAGGATAAAATATTTCTGTTCAGTTACAA